GCTGCATTTGCCATATTATTATGGTAAGTGTAAACTTTATCGCATTGTTGAGTTTTTTTATCAGTTTGTATTCTAATTCATATATTTTTTGGTTTCGATGTTATTTTGGTTAATGTTTATTTTGGTTTTGTTGCYGTAGATGTGAAACCAAAATCTGAGACAACGAAAGCATTGGAAAGACTGTCAAAGGTAATTGAATATCATCAATATCATAATTAATCATCATCATCATCATCATCATCATTTTTACAACAGATATTATTATTGATTAATGTAATACTAGAACTGAAGTACTATATTTCACGTTCATTAATACCTTGCATAAAATGTCAAAGCAGTTTCATCTGGGGGACAAAAACGACATTGTCTCCTGAGCGCATCTTATATTGACCCCCAAATGTAGCCGAATCCCCATGAAGAACAAGCGATCGTTATCATGACCATGAATTATATTGTGGCACTAGGTGACAGTTACCTCACAGAACGCTGTCAAAGTCACTGCAACAGTCCAAAACCTAACCAAGACAAGTGATGACAATTTCATCGTAGACGATGTGCACATGACGGCGACCATCCTCAATAAAGTCGTCTCTTCGAATCTAAGCTCGGCGAAAGTTGGTGATAACCTGCTCAAGACGATCAGCAATGTCATGAATGTAAACACTGAAACCCTGCACAAGACACAGAAGAAATACAACTCGTCTGCGACGTAAGTTCAAGTTATTATATTTTATCAGTCAAAGCATAGTACAGTCGTAACACTGTATCTCTAAGTCCGTCAGTGCATCGTTTTCTTGAACTTTAATCATAAATTTCTTAACAGGTTTGTCAAAGTCCTCGAGAAGTTCATCGAAAAAGGCGGCAAATTCTCAATCAACACCAACAACGTCGCCGTCCACCAGCAAAAGATCAAAACCGCATTCACGACCATGCGCACTAGCTTCACCACCAAGAACAACAAAATCATCATCAACAGTACCACTGATGTCACTTCCGGTACTGGCCAAAGCGACGCGTCTGCAGAGATTCATTCCACCACGTTTCCTGGCAACGAAACAACCAATGAAACTGTGTACTTTGTTTACTACAAAAGCAGCAAACTCTTCGCGCCAAGCTTCCAGCAGGTGACAGTATGTCAGGACGGCTTCACGGCGACAAATAGGCGTAAAATCACGCGTCGTGGACCGCTATACACGGTAGAAAGAGTCCATAAAAGTCTCGTGACAGAGAGTAGTCCTGTCATTGCATCCAGTCTACGAGGACGAGAGGTTGTCAACYTATCTCAGCCGATTACTATTAGGTTCAAACTTCCACCTGAAATGGTAAGACATCAGTTCCTCTGCCCTCCCCACAGCGCAGAGTATTTAGAGGAAATTCTCACCCAAGGGGGAGGGGTGTGTATGAATTATTCTTTCATGACGTGCRTGCTAATAGAGTTCATTCTTGTCTTTTAATGTCAGATCGAAGCCAACCATACCAAATGTGTTTGGTGGGACTTCAATGCTAAAGGGGGTCTCGGAGATTGGTCTACTGAGGGATGTGAATTCAAACGCATCATCAACGATACCATTGAATGCGAATGTAATCACATGACCAACTTTGCTGCTCTCGTGGTAAGAATTGCATTGCTCTGCTCTGTTCTGCACTCCTCTGCTCTGTTCTTCTCTACTCTGCTCTCCTATGCTYTAGGTAAATCGTATTTCTCAGTACTGTTACCTCTATTTCAGGATGTATACGGTCCGTCGTCCAAAGCTTGTGGTAAACACGAGTTTGCGCTCTCAATAATAGCATATATAGGTTGTGGTCTGTCCATCCTTGGTTTAGCTCTCACCATATTCACCTATGGGTTCTTTGCGTAAGTATATATTGTTTATTTGTTTGTCTGTTGGGTATTAGGTTTGCTTGGTTGGTTAGTTTAGGTGGTAGTTAGTATATGTAGGTCATGTTATTTTTAGTTTTTATTATTAGTTTTTTTTATTATTATTAGTTTTTCCTGTCTGCATGCACATCCCTTTTATTTACTTTATGCTTGATTATTTAGGTCCAATCTTCAGTATACGAACTTTATGCTTATCATTATTGACTGCATGTAATCCTTATATCGTTGTGTTCTTCATAGTAAACTACGTAAAGAAATCGCCGCCAAGATCCTTCTCCATCTGTGTACAGCCCTTCTCTGTGTTCTAATAGTCTTTATATCTGGTGTAGAACAAGCCGTCAAGTCTAAACTTAACTGTCAAGTAGTGGCTGTCTTGATGCATTATTTTCTACTCGTTGCATTTATGTGGATGTTCTTTGAAGCATACTTTATGTATTTTGCTTTTGTCAAAGTGTGGAATGACCACGGTGATTACATTTTATTGAAATGTGCAAGTATCGCTTGGGGTAGGTATTTCGAACTTCTCAATGTTTTGATCGTTTTCATTCATTTTGTGACGGATTCAAAAGATAAAAGAGCGGTGGCCATGTTGGAAGAGAGAAATCCTTTGTTAAAGTTCCTCCAAGATGGCCGCTGTGACCGTAACTAGAAAACGAAGAATACTTTAGAAAAAATCAAAATGAGTTTCTGACAATACGATTTACGTTATTTTTTAGGTCTTCCTGGTGTGGTTGTCACGGCTACCATTCTTGTTGATACAGAAAATTATGGAGGCGAACACTAGTATGTATACTTAGTGCTTTAAATGTTGTCGTTTTTCAAAATTACCCGCCATCTTAGTTTACTCTCAGCCAAGACAATCCATGCATGCTTTGCCATCGCATTTTCGGTTCCAGGCCCTTTGTTATTTTTACCTGAAAGTGTTCAAGATCTCGTGGACTTTTTTAAGATTTTTTTTTATTCATGACAAAAATACATAACCACAAAACAAATACATTGGATCTCATGTAGTTATCGTCTTTACAATGAGGTGGAAATGTTCAGTTGTAATATTCGCCCGTTTGTAATCACGTGGTCACCACGTGGAACGGTTAGTCCATGGAGAGTTATGAAAGAAATTTACCGATGTACATTTGCGAAACGCCCGCAAAAAGTAATTTTCAAAAATCTTCGGCCCTTCCCTGTTTGGGCCTTATCTCCATAGAAAAAGGTTCAGTTTTCATCGGTCTATTCTAAGACACTGCTACCGCCTATTGTGGTTAAACTACCCACAAACCTCCAGCGTCATTCTTCTTGCGTTTCTTTACACATGCACTTAGATTAACCCTTCCGTCGGTTTTCGCCTTGTAATTCGATGAGATAATGAGGGATAATCGCCCGCTTAGCTTTGGGTTTCCTGTGGTATGTTTTCGGATATGAAGTGTCAAACTGAGAATGTGCGTCACTCACAAACAAAAAGGTTTTTTCGTATTTTTCTCTGGAGGAATTTTATCATGGTTTTTAACATCAATTATAAAGGAATCTGACCCGTGGAAAACTCGTGCGTGCGTCAAAAAAAGACGATTCTTTAGAAATTGTTCGCGAATATAACGCATCGTTTGAATAACTCGAGCTAGACAACTTTCTCTCGCGTGTGCTTGCGTGTTCTCTCGTGTAGTTCGGGCCACAAATTTGTCGGCGGATTTTCATTAATTATTGGATATTTGTAATGACCGCATATCCGTAACGTTAGTGTGCCATATCCTTCAATAASCACCGCTTACGTCATAACAGTCAATACTATCGATTACTGACCATTGCTATTCGTTTGTTGCTAAATTAAAGCACAAGTATSATTTCATTTTGGCCTCAAAATTGCCGTTTTGTCAAACGCCCATGTTATTTTGATGTTGGTAGTTCCCACACCTTRTCAAGGTGGAATTCACTGATAAACATACATAAAGGCGGCGATTGTATCGYGTTTTCCGAATCTAGAACACACCTGGGTGGTGTTACCAGTTCTGTTGGGCATTTATCCATTCATTTATGCTTTCATTCATTCACTTTCCCATTCTTTCACTATTTCTTATCTCACTTTTTGTTCATTTTGTTCGCAGTTGTCGTCTTAAAGGTCTTGCTTTCTTCCTGGCCTTCCTGGCCCCAGTGGTATCAATCATTATTTTCAACACCATCATATTCTCTATGATTATGTACAAACTAAGTGTTCGACCCCCGGCCAGACCCGCTGACAAAGATCGCGGGCGCGAGGGATTTCTTCAACTTCGTCGAGCGTTCGGGATTCTAATTCTGGTCGGACTGACCTGGATGTTCGGTTTCTTCGCTATCAGTGACTCAAGACTTATATTTACATATACCTTCTCAGTTCTAAATTGCTTCCAAGGATTTTCGATTTTCATGTTCTATTGCGTGACACAAAGGAATGTGCGTGACAGTTGGATGGCGTTACTWCGTTGTGATCTTCAAAGCTTGAATAGAAAGACTGTATTTACGGAATCTTACGATCCTAAAACAAAGACATATCTACAAGACACTGGTATGAGACCCAGGACAAGATCTGAACCAACTAAGGTAAAACCATCAATCTTATTGGCTGAGAATTAGTCTATTTCTCTATGACGTCACGTCATGTTTATATGGGGGAATGAGGATGGGACTGTGTACTAAATCAAACTTTTTACTCTTTCTCCTATGATTATAGTTATCATAGTTAATTAAATATCATATAGAACGCTATTTAGTTGATGTTRCAATGAATTGAMTTTACTTTTTGTCTTTCAGAACACRTTTAGTACTTTGCAAAGGGAGAAGTTCAGACCAAGGATGCACACAGCAGATGTAAAGGTACGAATGCCAGTTAATAAGATATTATTAAAGAATATATTTCACGGATTTTTAGACCCCACTTCACAAATAAACATCAAACTAAAGCTAATCTTCTGCATAATTCCAGCTACCAGTACGAGACAAGCAAACCTGTAAACGWGAAACGAGTAGCGACAATCCAAATTACGAACACAGCGTGGCCGATGAACATGGTACCAAGTACCCACAATACGTCACCGTTACCATAGAACCGCCACCTAATGATAATGCAAGCGAAGAATTCGAAATGACGCCTATCCCTGGGTCAARATCCGGGAGCTTGAGATCACATRAACARGAATCACGTGRTACGGTGCATTCCAACCAATCAACGCCAAAGCTGTTTAGAATGTTCAAAATGGGAAATTCAATAAGTGCGTTTAGYAAAGCACCGCAGGTCGGTAAAAACACGTTAAAACGCACGGCTTCGCATACTCCTGAAGCACCCAAGCAGTATACTCCAGTATGCTTACGGAGAACGCAGTCCGCAATGTCTCTCGGGAAGGAAAACAGAATCAGTGGGGATAGTTTAATTACATACGCGTCGACGTCATCGGAGTCGTTAAGTACGGACTCACAAAGTCCACGAAACGGCGAAACAAGACGATTRTTGACGTTATCAAGACTCGAYCCAGATAATTATGGTTAGTGTTTTTCTACCCCTGATCAACATTATACATGTAACGCTCATTTATTATCATTTTCTTCTTTCGCTCATCTCAATATCCATTCATTCATTCCTATTTCCGTCCCTTGTCTTAAAAATGATTAAAAAATGATTGTGACTGTGATTGTTGAGCACGAGATTTACCTTTGCGATAACTCTATCGTTATTTACTCTTTAAATTAAAGGTCTCAGTTTTAAAATATCCTGTATCGCTCACAAAGAAAATCCAGKAAAATCCTTAGTCCTGATTCCTGTTGTATTTTTCCACAGGAGAACTAATTATTAGCTCCCAACGCGGCTCAGTGCGAGGCATTGTGGGTCACGTGGAAACATCAGTGGATACGTATGACGATCTAATTGATGAACTATCAGACAGTGAGAAAAAACGATCATTATCGTTACCTGCTAACGCCTACAGCTACATCTTTGATTCTTAACGCAAGGATTTCATCAAACAAAGTAGTCACACTAGCGTAGTCTGAATTTAAAGGAGTTACATCGAGGGATGAGAAATTTGACGACAAATCCATTGGGAATCCTGGCAATTACACCAGGGTCGGTTGGATTCTTGGAATTCGTAATAAATGGCCTGGAAGCGTCTAAATTTGCGCTAGATTGCAACAATGGCTAAATTTTTGCAAGCCGTAAATAAACAATGGAATTAAATGGAATCGAAGACGTCATTTAATGCTCTGGAAGAGCTGTTATTGTGAAAAGGTCACAGCAAYTTCAATGAACTTTGGCAATTCAAATGAAGCACCAGGGACGAATGAAATCATTGAAGTCGTAGCATAAGCTCTGGCAATGCCTGTGGCGAGTAAGATTTACAATAAAAGGTGTTGTCTTTGAAAAATCTAAGCAACTGGATCGCGTGGATTCATTAGAATTGCTGGACATTGCTTTAAGAGCCACCGAAAGAGTCATCAACATCCAAGTAGATAATGTACTACTTGCAAAGTGTACTTTATACAAGACGAGCTTTGTTGGACGATGATTAATTCTCCTTACCAAACTTTCGAGAAATTATTTATGAGTTTGGAAAAAGTAGACTTCTATTTGCCTTCAAAAAGGCGCAGCGCTCACAGTCCTAAACACATACCCATGGTACTTTTACCTCATTTGAAAATGGCCAGGAATTCTTGGTAATGTGGTGCGGTAATATGTCAGTATAAGGAAGGGTGATTGCACAATCCGTGAAACAAAATAGGGGCTAAAGGAAGTAATTGAGAAGATTTGATTCACGGATTTATTGCGTGGCRCAGGGATCCCGTCTGCAGCGCAGTATTTGGGAGCAAAATAAGTAGTTTTGTGTATATAGATGCGGAAGCTGAACAAGTATGCAAGAAAATAATGTGCAAAGGTTATATATAAAGAGATTTTTGGAATATGCTAACAATAAGTATATTATAAATTTGAGTAGATTTAAAAGAGATCCAACAATATATTTTTTTGGTAAAGATTAATTTTGAAACTTATATACAACAATTTGAATTGTGAAATTGGTTACACAGAATAGACATCTATTTTTATACATAGAAATCATGGTTTGAAGCACAAGCTATTGACCAATCAGAAGCTTTGGTGTCACGTGGCTAAACAGCCTTCTCTGATTGGTGTAAGGGCAATTAGGCCCGTATTTCTGAATATTTCTTAAAGTCAACTGTTTTTCATGAATGTTATGTATTTTTATGGATAATATTTTATCTTTTATGATAAGACTCTTACACTTTTAGGCCGCCATTTTGAATTTCTGCAAGTGAAGGAAGAAGGAAAATTACTTTCTCTGATGTTTTTTTTTCTTTAATTTCAAGTACTACATCAAAACGTCAAAATGTATTTGAATATTACGTTCTTGAACCTTTACTGTAATATTGAAGCATTTAACTCACTCTGAACTCGGTTCATTTTTGAAAATTTCAGTATAAATGTCCGAGGCCTAACTCTTCAAGAGAGCGGGATGATTCAACATGGCGACCGTCTTATATCATAGTTCTTCTCGTTTGAATGCATAAATCAGTTTATCAAGATGATATTATAAAGATTGTGTTGTAAATAGAAATACCACGACTGGCTCTAGTGATGTTTATACCACCGTACGTTTATTACATCCGTGAAACAGAAACAAATTGCGCTAAATTACACTAGTTAAAAAAAAACAAACCAACGATTAATCAATTTTTCGTACTGATTTGTTAGTAAACCTGTTCACGGATGCAATAAGTGCACTAATAAATGCGAATCTACTTTTAGCGTGTTGTTACTGTGTTATTGGGCTACCTGTGGTCCAGGAGGACTAGTTCAAAGCACAGTAAAGAGTGTCTGTACTTTGGTGCTAAGCCAGGAAGAGATTTATAAATGACATTAAATTGTGTTTTATATGATGTACTGTCCAATACTTTTTGTCCAGTCATTTACCAGCTATTGGTTTGTTAGGTAAGTTGGTTGCATGGWTGGTTATTGTGGTACTGTTGGTGTTATGTGTTGGTCAGGGAAACAGTTGTTTGGTTATTGTTTTAAGTGGTTTTCGTTCGGCTGTTAGTAGTAGTTATCAAACTCATTGTTTTCTTTTGTTTTACTATAGTACTAAATAGTTCGTTATTTTTCTTCTCAGTCAAAGGATAACAACTGTAGTTTGTATGCTTTAGCTAAAACCTGCCATCAAATTATGAAATACAAAGCTTTATTAAGCTACTTTCTAGATAAATATAAAAATCATAAATCTACAAAATGTTGTATTTACTCGGATTTCAAATCGAGAACATATGTTCTTAAGTCAGTATAGTTGCCACAAAAAGTTTCGATTTTGTAGTGAATTCAACTTGAATAACACTGATCATTTTGAGCAATGAAAGTCATTAAAGCAAGCATTAATGTCTCTTGCCATTCAACCACGTGAGCATCTAACCACGTGACCATCCAACCACGTGACCATCTAACCACGTGACCATCATCTAACCACGTGACCATCATCTAACCACGTGACCATCATCTAACCACGTGATACCGTACTGATTTTTCTGCACTGCTTCAACTGAAAGAAATACCCGTGCCCAGGCTTCGTGATGAAATATCGTTTAGTTTGATATGAACCGTTTGTACCCAGTCTATCGAAGTCATCAAGCTCAACGCCAGCAATGATCTTATGAGGGAAATTCGATAAATATCCAACCCAGCGAAGGACCCCAGTCTTTGAAGCCTTTTTCTTGGAGATCCTACACGCTACTTTAGATCCGAGATATTTCACATAATGTTTATCTGTTTTGGCGACGTTGAAATGTTTGTGTTTAGTTTTCTTTGGCTTTTTAGCTTTCTTCTTTTTCTTGATTGTCGGTGGGGTTGTCGGTAAGGTTGTCGGTAAAGTTTTTGCCTGTGTTGTTTGAATACTTCTTTCAACTGTTGTCATAGGGGTAGCCGCTGGCTCTAATGCCTGAGCAAGGCTGCTGTTGTTCTCCAGAGAGAAGGATTCTGGGACGCTTTTCGTGGTTTTCGCCGACGGTTCTTCGATGTCTCCGATTTCTTCGCCGGATTGTTCAGCTTCATCGAGAATCGATTGCCCACTCATACCGTCGCTAATATCGTTGATTTCAGAYCTTTAAAGAGAAGTAAAACAAAGTTCTGAGTGTATTTTATTTGACTTCGACTCATGTTAGATTCGACGTTWAAAAAAAACATAATATTTACCTAGGATTAATTGGTGGTTGTGTAAATTCATCACGATCGCCATGTTGTTTGTGTAAGAATCCATGTTCTCTTTTGTCTGGTGACAAGTCCATCATGAAGTCTTCTCCGTTCTGAAATACGAAGGGATAAGCACTTTACCCTTATATTTCATGACAAAGTATTCGGACTACAAAAAGAAAAATGTCCTCCGAGTCTTTATCTTACCAGCACGCGTGAGACAAAGTCACTGTTTCTCCCAAACTTCGGCTGCAGCTCGTCCGAAGACCTCAGAGTAAAGTTAACGTACTTTTCAACCTCGCCACCTTTCAACACAATTACTTTAGTCTGTGGCTCAAAGCCTTTGGCGGACGCGGTGACGTCATAGGAGCCTGGTACTAGTAGTCTCCAGTAATCCCCGTCCGTGGCCGTTGTGACGTCATGTCGACGATCAGCGATCCGCACGACGGCGTTCTTGATTGGGATTCCTTTGGTTGACTTGACGAACCCGTGAATGCCCGTATGTACCTGTTGATAAAAGAGCAGAGTTGGTTGAGTTATCAAGGGTTGACAGAGAAACTCTAACTCGACTCGTGGGTTTTTACAATGATAACTGAACAATTTAGTAAAGTGCGTACTTGTGTTTTATCGAGTTAAACTTACGCGAGTATTAATCGAGTTATGATGAACATCATGATGATGATGATAATGATTAATAATCAAGTATACCTGCTCCATCAGATTAATCAACGCTTTCTTGTTATCGTCCCAGTATTTTCTCAGTTTCTCAGCCTTTGGGAATCTCTCGCAACCAACCTCAATAGTCACCTCGAAATCATTGGAATGTACATAGTTATAATCCTGCATTCCACCTGAAATACTAAACCAGCTCGCTCCGTTCGTTATCCCATCGATGAAATTCTGCTCTTTCACATTGGAGCAATTCCATTTTGGATTGGCTARGTGCATAACTGGGTGGACATCAGAATAAGTCTTTGCTAAATGTCGAAATACGTCATCATCCGGGGTAGCGCTGTATAGACTTTGGCCGGACGGGGAATCGTCATACGGGTAAATAGCAACCAAAGCCCCGGTATGTAAACTCCCCGATAGGACAAACGGGTAGTCGTTAATCCATTTCATGACCGCTCTAGTYTCCGGTTGAGGCGGACCGTTAGAGCTTGGAAAGAATTGATCCGGGAAGTTTCGGTTCAAGTCYACCCCRTGCGCGTTTCTTCKYCCAAGGATTTTATGRGAATGTCCACGTACTGATGCGAGTTCGTAGCCGTCCGGGTTCATGCTCGGTAGAATATGGATCCTAGTATTATCAACAAGCTTTGTTATAGGTAGATCTTTCTTGTAATTCTCACATAAATGACTTATAAGTTGGAGAAGAAGTTCTCGTCCGACTACCTCATTACCATGTATGTTACCGATGTATTTCATCTCAGGTTCGCCAGGTTCATGGATGCCTGGTTGATCGCTGATTTCCATGACCCARAGYTTACGGTTCTGTACGCTGTAGCCTATTGAATAAAGTCGTGTGATGTCTTTGTATTTCTTAGCAAAGTACTCCAAAAACCATGTCATTTCAGCATAGTTATGATGCTTGAAYTTCCCAATTTCCAAAAGCTGCGAAACTGTATGGTCGATAGTGTCTGTAGCGTTTAAATTCGAGTTTTCTGTAGTTTCTCCGGAAACAAGAGAAACCAGAACGAGAAGAAGAGTTGATACAACTACTGCGTTCATCATGTTCTTTGTCGAACGGAAGCACAAGCCAACTTTCGCTGACCGACTTGGGTCACCACACCAAGTTCAGTTCAGGCAAATGACGTTCCTGCTCACTTTGCTTCATGTCCAGCCTCATTTTTATTTAAAGGGCTTGACTTTAAGGGGTTTATTTACAGCCAGGGTGTGGCGCTGTATCGCAACACTAAATATAGCCGCACACTTGTTGTACCTGCTAGAGGTAGACACAAACAGGTGGGAMGAAGATATTTTTGCCGCGCAAATTAAAAACTGCAAGATTTACATTTTGAAGATCAAATTTAAGTCGTACTTAAAGTTGCTGATAGGAATGTTTTAACTGGAGCTCGAATTTAATGCAACATAAGAATTACCGATGACATTCTGTCCTTTGAACTTGGTTCTCGCGGTTAGTTTTTGGTCGAACTATTTTCACTCGAACTCTTTTCACTCCGTATTTACTTTAATGTAACGTTTCTATAACAAGTAAATTAGTTCGWCGCAAAGGATCAAAGACAAATCCTTGAAGTACAACATTGATGTGGCTGTTTACTCCAATACTGTAATCGATCTATGCAGTCCTAKAAATGATCGTTTTTCGCCAAGATGTTTCGCTAAAGTTACACTGCTTAACAGCAGCAACATAGGCATGTTATCTGACAGCAACAAACACACGCTCCAACRACTACAGGAAAGAAAATCACTACAAAACAAGCGACTAAAACCAATGGAAGCATGGCGGCACGAACCCCAAAGATCCACCTGAAAGGAATTTCTTAGGTTAAGCTCTGACTTACAAGTAGAAATGGTTGTTTTTGACTTATATCTTGGGAAACGTAGAAAAAATTTTTTTGACATACCTGTCCTTTTCCGGAACGTTCTGAAAATATTAGAATATCATTCTGAAATCCAAATTATGCCAACGAAGAAGCCGTTACTAGCTACAGTTGGTGTTCATTCKGCACGTTCTCTAATTTACATTTGTAAACAAATAAACAAAATATAATATTGAATAATAATATCATGACAAAACAATAAAACAAACGTCAAATTTGACATAGTRCTAGTGTTGGAATGATTGAATTGGGGGCAAATCTATTCTGTATAACAAATGGTTCATAAATTAACCGTTCCATTGTCGCGCTAGAAAATGCGGTACAAAATGCAAATGTCAAATTGTTATGGTCATCAATTGAGGCCTCAGTTATTTCTATTAATCGAATTTTTGAGTTCACCCTGATACTAAATAAATCTCATTATAGAATTGTTTTCTTTACATATTATAAATAAGCATTTGTTTCCGTGGACAATATAATGGAGATTACACTTATCGGTTAATTTGATAAAAATCACAGAACAGATTGTTTGACTACCAGTTTCTGTAGCAGGTGGCACATCGATCGCACTTATCAAACAACAGGTGATCAAAACACGGTCTTTTGACGATCAATAATCTAAAACTAACGCTTATTATCCCAAAAAATAATACATTCTCTGTAAAAACCAACCACAAGACACCTCACGCTTCATTAAGTAAAGCCATACTTCACTATGTACGAAAAAGAGGAAAATTTCGAACTGGTTGAGTTGTGTTTGACTAAGATTTTAAACTGGTTGACTTGTGTCTGACTTTTGAAAAATTTCTCACAATRAAAATATGATGAGTGAAATTTTGCAACGATTTTCCAGTATTTTATTAGCCTAGAGAATCCGAAATGATCTCAAAGAGCATCGTTTCTCAGGGCGTTGCCTCCGTTGATCAAACCACCAATTTTAGATGTTCGACATCACGTTTCAAGAGTGCCGATGTTTACCGTGTGGCAAGGCGGTGTCAAAGGGCGAGGCCTGTGCTATAATCATCACCATTCTTGTCTCCATGGTTCAAATGTGTATACATAGCTATCAGGCCGTTTAGTTGTAAACAAGCGTGGTGAAAGACATGATGGTGTACCTCAAGGCTCTAGTCTTGGGCCTCTGCCTTCAAACTTTATGTATTCATGCCAARCCGCCTGTATCAAAGAAAGCTGGGAAATCTMCGGCTAAAGGACCGGTAAAATTACCAACAAAATCWCCTAATATACACTCGGCTCCTGCCAAAGCAGCTCTGAAYATCATGAAAGCAAAGACGATAAAGACGAAGACTTCAAAGCCTAAAGAAGTTGAACATGACAAATTTACAACAMCCAARCCAGAGGTAATCCAYGAAGTTCAAGACCGTGAAATTCACGAGAGAAACGCGAGTTTTAARCACCATAATTACGAGGAAATGACTTGGYTRCTGAAAGAGTTYGCYCGTAAGCATAAGGAYATCGCAAAGYTATATGACATTGGGAAATCCGTGCAAAATMGAAAGCTRTGGGTCATGGAAATCTCTGATAACCCTGGCGAACATGAACCAACRGAGCCAGAAGTCAAACTAGTGGCTAATATCCATGGTAACGAGGTGATCGGYAAAGAAATGGCCTTACATCTWATACGATATTTATGCCACAAYTACAAAGCGAACCAACGRGTAACCAAGCTWATAAACTCCACAAGGATTCATATTTTACCGAGCATGAAYCCTGATGGATACGARAAAGCCGCYTCGAGTGACGACCATACCGTCGGCAGYAARAATGCTAACGGAATTGATCTGAATCGTAACTTTCCTGACCAGTTTTTCCCGAGTACCACAGGAAGACCACAGCCGGAAACTAAAGCTATTATGCAATGGACCCAGTCTATTCCATTTATCCTCTCGGCCAGTTTACATAGCGGTGCCCTWGTAGCTAGTTATCCTTATGATGATAATCCATCGGGRCAGAATCAATATAGTGCAACACCAGAYGACGATGTGTTCCGCCAGCTCGCCAGAGCGTACAGCGAGGCGCACCCATCTATGCATCTTGCTAACGCTCCATGGAAGTGCACAGAYAAACAGAGAGAGCAYTTCATTGATGGTATCACTAAYGGCGCCGATTGGTTTAGTATCTCAGGCGGTATGCAGGATTTTAACTAYGTCAAGACTAACACGTTTGAGGTGACGTTGGAGCTTGGCTGTGAGAAGTTTCCAAATGCCTCGTCGCTGTCMGAGTACTGGAAAGAGAATAAAGAAGCTATGTTAAGCTTTATTGAACAGGTCAGTTGGTTTATTTACCATACTATTCAAAAGCTTATTGAATCTGATATATTCCATCAATGTTTCTATATCATCTTCATCTTCATATATATATTTCTACATAAAATCTTTCATCATAAGTGTTAATATACATTGAACCCATTCTCATACCCAGGTCTTCCTCCTTTTCGATCATTGTGAATCTGGGTTCGAGCATGACGTCACAATTCTTGCTTATTGTTGGTGGCAGAGTGCACCCATCATATTCCCCAACATTTATACCGCAAATATACCATAAACATGACCRCAAAACATCGTCTTTTGAACCTCAAGAAAATGAGGCAATACGTTAAAGGGTTCTCTAATGCTTGAAATTAACCTATTACGMATGCCCTTATGTATTTGCAGGCTGACTTAGGAATTCGTGGGCTGGTAAAAGACGAACAAGGCAAACCTATCGAAGGTGCCCGAATCAGCATCGCGAACCGTCGCAAAGACGTCTTCTCGTACAAAGATGGCGACTATTGGAGACTCTTGGTACCAGGCTCTTATGAGGTATCTGTGGTCGCGAAGGGGTATGAACCCGAGACTAAAACAACRACTGTTTCTCCAAACAAAGCAACAGAACTTGACTTTGTTATGAGGAAAATACGACCGAGAAAACCTCGACATATCGAAGACAACGAGGACCCTCGTGGAAGCATTCCCTTGAGGAGGTCATTACGGGATTATTATCGAGAAAGTGAGCAGTCAAAAGAGGACGAAGGAGAAAGCGATTTCACACCAAAGCAAGAAACAGAAGAACTTGAGTGAAGTGACGTGATAAAACATAGTCTTCACTCCGCCAAGAATTACCGAGTCACGTGGGAGATTGGGCTGAAAGAAGCATATTAGAGATTCAGCCGTGAATGCGGTTTTAKAAACAAATGGCCATATTGTACAGTTAGTGTAGAGTTTTGTACATATTTCCACACACATCCATTAAGGACTACAAATTGTACAAAAGTGATTTGTCACAGAATGAGCGCGCTAAACCCATGAAATAGACTATTACACACTAGAGGTACTATTTATTACCTAACTATGTATTTGACTAAGAAGGGTTTGTTTCATTTAATGTTATTTTACTCTACATATTTCACGGATTTATTACGCTCACTCTACTCCTTTTCGAGATTAGTAAAATAATTAAATCTAATTACGTCACACAAAGTAGGCAAAGCATTCTGGTAGTTGTAGTTAATGACGTCACCTTGTTAATGCCAGTTATTTCTGGGTCCAATAATGATTGAAGTTTGACCCGTGATTTAAATTTAGGTTATTATAAATTGCAAATAGCAAGGATCTGCATGTCAAGACGTTGGCGTCTTTTTTGTATCTACTGTTGAATTCTTTTCAACATTTGTTATTATTTTATTCAGTTGTGATAATAAATCAAAATTGTACAAAAGTGTKCTTCATATGTGGTTTTATACTCGTATCTTTTCGTGCTATTTAAACGTTGCCTTGTTATCTTACTAATCCTACATCCGTGCCATGACGTTACTATACCGGACMATAGGGCTATTTCTATGCTATAATCAGTCGACCAATATCGCCGTTAGATATTGTTGATCAAGTTCAGTCTTTGTTGATCAGCTCACCAGGAGACTTSACAACCATTTATGATTCGAGCATCAAAATAATGATTGGCTGCTTGATATGAGCTACAGGGATTTGATGGACCATATAATATGACTATTAGCTCGCATTGAATATAATTTCACACCTCTTTAACAGCTCTTGAAGATGAATTAACTTCAAAGTGCCCATTAGCAATGAAAGAACTCCGCGTTAAAAGYACTATTCTTTGATCTTAAGCTTTGGATTCAGGGTTGTTGCAATTTGAATTCATTGTGTTGTCAATACAATTGAATATGAAGTTTTTTTGTGGCGTATCAGACGAAGTGTTTGTTTGTGAATGCAGCTGTCATTAAAATTCTATTGAACTCCATAACAATGCAGTAAGCCTGTGAATTACTTTATGAAAAGCTGATGTTTGTCGTCTAAACATTGAGCTATTTACCTCAGCCATCGCCGTGTCAGAGAGGAATCTAAAASCAGAAAGACATTGCAGTGAATTTCTCATGAAAACTAAGAAGACAATGAATTGAGTTGCCCAAGCGGTGCATTCAACACGGCAAATAGTGTTGTTTGTTGACCAMAATCACCTTGGGCGCTCGACAAACCAACAAACGTCTTTAGCTCCACACGAGATATATTTTGATGTGAGTGGCAGATGGCAACTGAGGAACTACTTGATGTAAATTCACACAATTCTGGTTCAATATTCAGACGACATGAAAGGAAGCARCAAAGCAGGTCATTTAGCAAGGTAAGGCTGATTTTGTATTATTGAATGGCGCTAGTTTTATTATTCTAATCCAATTTGTAGTGAATTGAAGACGTTGCCTTTCATTTAACATTGCTAAAACCTAAGTCATTTCGTAATTTAAAGTCGATATSATAGAGAAGAAGAAGATTGACGTTTTGTTAAGGCTCAGAGCGTCCTTAGTTATTCTGTTATGARCTCTCTACTAGATACTGTAGTTACAAAGGCTATTCTTTCTTGATTCTTAATTTTCTAGTATATATTTGATATATTTTGCAATACATTCTTACTCTGTTTTCTACTTCTTCTGTCATTCCTTGTTTCTTCAAGTTCATCTTTCGATGCCTTGYGTTTTTCCATCACGATCATTACACTTTCCTCCCTCCCCACCTTCCTTCCATTCACATTTCTTTCTTCTTTMATTCCTTTTCTTATCCATTCATTGTCCTTGGCAGTCATTGTCAACTTTCATTGTCATTGGTGTCGTATATGTTTTGCACAGGAAAGCTAAAATCAAGAAAGAAGACTTCARTGGATGGAGCCACGAAGATGACACTCTGGGAGACATAGGTACATCAAATGTCCATTAAACACGGTGACTAGTGGACGATTTGTAACCGTTTGACTTTATTTTCCAGGAATTGATACTTGGTTTGAGGATCGTAAACGATCGGGACGAGAGAGAGGTATGATCTACAAATCAAAAAGAAATTAATTTTGATGTACCAGGAATTGATCAGCCTCTTCCACTTCCTTTTCCACTCAATTCCGCTGTCTGTAGTGGATTGTCTTTACTCAAATCACCATCTCTTTCCAGGTTATGTGTGTGCACTGGTTGAGTCATTTGAACGTCAAGAACAAGCACGACGTTTCAAAATACGAAACTCTTCTTCTTCAAGAAAATCACAACGACAGAGCGCTAAAGCGACTAGAAATAGTTCAGCCAATCGGAMSACAAAGGTTGATGATGATCACATTCAGGAATCGTTGCCTGGAAACGTTGATACTTCTATGAATGATGCAGCTTCTTCAAGGGATCACGTGCTTCAGRGATCCACTGATCCTATTGGATCAGTAAATGAACACGTGACTKTAAACCAATCAGATGACAAGGAAGAGGAAGTGGATTGGGAAACGCACTTTGTTGTCCATTCAAGTCAAGATATTTCTGAAACTAAGCATGAAATAGAAACACCATCACAGAACTTAGTTGAAGTAAACCTCGCTCGATACGAGAAGAGACTGCGCAAACAGCGAGAAAATCGACTTCGAAAGAGCATGGATATAATCAAGAACACTGCTGACCAGGCGGTTACTGTATCGTCGTCCAAAAAAGCTGCCAACATTACTAGCGTGACGTTTGCCCAGGGAATGATTCAGCCAATCAATGACATTGAAAATACCGCGAAAAAATCGRCGGTTAAAAATRCTTCAACATCAAAGCTGCCTTCAATTTCCAACGAGCATGCTCAAAGTATYGAAGATAAAACACAGACTACACGCAATGGTCTTGATACCAACCCTAACAAAACCACTAAGAACAACAATCACTTGGCKAAGAAATTCAACTTTGATATTTTAGAAAAATATGCTTTGATTCGTAACTCTAAGCACACAAAAARCAGTGCAACKTTCATGGATTATGTTGAGAAGATGCGAACTCTCCGTCATAGCGGTTCGAAGGRCKCAAATCATAATCAATCTGTCGATGTTGATGGAGATTTTGCGCAAAACCCAAACGTAAAAAAGGTTGACGCAGGTGCTAGTCTAACATTTGATCARGTTCGAGAGCTGTGGTACGAGTCACGTAGGGAYAGGATCGTCGGTAAGGTGACTAGACGTACACGAAGTTTGCCGCCGTCTAACAGRAAAGGAAATATGATGGTGATTAACGCAAAGAGAGGAAGATGTATGTCTGAACCAATTAACAACGAAAAYAATGTAGCTGCCTTTGAGGTTAGATGAATAATTCTTACTTATATTGATCATACACATAAAGAAATAAGTTATGAGTGTTGAGCCGTTATCTCCTTGATTTAGTGAAAACTACTTTAGGAGAATAAACATTGAAGTATTGAAGTTGGCTAGGGTGCTCTCCACCCGTGAAATTGATAAAATAACACACTTCAAAGATCGGTACTTTCATTGTTTTATTTTGGATCTCTGTGACTTATACAACTTGACTATCAGATTTTCACGGATTTAAGTCATTTAATTTGCTATCATAATTTGTCCCACGCGATGTTCCACGGGATAATAGGAGAAATCCCTCTATTAGTCAGGGAAAGTCAGCATTTCAAACCCGCTTTTTAAAACTTAAGTTTCATTTGAACTCCAAAATGAGAATTGATTGCTATATTATCAGGGAAAAGTCAACTCGAGGCAGATAAAGTGCCCTCTACAGCGCATGCGCTCAGCAACGAATCGAAGAATTGAAGCAAACAAAATAGAAAGATCGAAAAAAGGAAAACATGATGRAAAAAGCGTTGGAAATGAAAGTGTTGACRTAAAAAGGTAAATAATAAKAAGAAAAAATAAAYTGTGCACTGGCCGGGAATCGAACCCGGGCCTCCCGCGTGGCAGGCGAGAATTCTACCACTGAACCACCAGTGCATCTGTTGAGAAGATTCGATGAAAATTACAAAGTCATTGGAAAAATACATAAAGCATTAAATGATATTATTATAAAACAATGTAAGCGACCTTTTCATGATTTTTCTGTAAACGCACCTTTCCGATAAAATAATTGCAATTTTCAATTTTCAATTTTTTCAGAACGGTAAATGGCATTCAATGCTGTATTCTGGGAAGATCATCCCCATCCAAGAACACAACAGCTTTACAACAATGAGGGGAAAAATACAAACRTGGCATCGGGTAAGTTAGTTGCATACTATTTTTAGACTTTTTAGATATGATCATGATAGTTTAGCTGACCCCGACSGGTCACATTGATCAGTRTAATTCCTTTTTTAGTTTCATCAGGTCCATGCTCATCTCGTGACAGACACAGTGTGTGACGTCACATGTTGCGTGACGTCTCGTGATGTGTGACGTCAGGTATGGTGTGACGTCACATGTTTATAACGTGCCTGTATCAACATTAACGTACAAAGTTTACAAGTTGAATACCAAGACGTGGGAATACAAGCATTACATARAGGATTCAACGTCCAGGTACTATAGATTTATAAACCTTAGAATTCCTCATGGTCTTTTCCTTTGATTATTACACTTTCTATATGTCCACTTATTCTATTGATAGAAGCTAATATATTACACTTTGACCTCTCGAAAGAAAAAGGATCTCGAATGGGAGTGCAAACTTTGAATATKATGTCGTAGTTATTGTAGTTGCACCTTGAAAACCACTGCTTTCTTTATTTAATATTTTTTCACTTATTTTACAAATAGCACAGTAGAATACTATGATTTCTGTTGAGAGAATCATTACACCTAAACTAGCAAATTATTAAAGGCTCAATTTGCACCATTATGCTTTGCACGCCTGTGTTATTGTTATGAATACACCAAAATACCTTTGGTATCTAAATATCACCATAAAACGAATGCCATATGTTTGAAAACTCTTATATTAAGCATTATAGTGCTTAGAAAAGTGAGATGGTGAAAGATTTTAAGCGCACAGTACAATTTATAGACTTTCGGTAAACTGAAAATGGCCGCCTCTCGGCCCCAAAGCATAATGGTGCACACTGGGCCTTTACCATAAAAATATCATATATTTATTAGTTTATTTTAATAATTTTACTTTGCAAATGATGATAAATCTCTCAACCCTTAGTTATACCTGTTGTTATTATTTTCAGATTCTCTCCGTTCTTTTTGTACCAGCAATCGTTTAAGAGAAGAAAACTTCATTATCAAGAATTTTTTAAAGCTTCCTGGTCAATTTCCAATTCATTAGACTCAACCTGATTTCAGCTACACTGCGCAATTGGGGAAGACGCAACTATTTGTGCATATAGTTTCTATGGTAACGTGGACACAACTTTCTAAATATAATGCTAAAAGCTGTGTATGAATGGTCCAAAAGACTGGCCAGAACTGGAAACTGTAGTCATATGTATGATGAACATGTTGCTATTTATATCAAGAACCTGGACGTCGTTGTGTTTCTGTAATGTCCAGGAATTTACTGGAAAAACAGTGTTCAAGATGAACCGCTGTACAAGAAATCTTTTGCTATTTATTCCAAGGGCCTGGTCCTGTCAGAGGTTATGTGATTTCAACGAAGAATCTGGAATAACAGTGTTCAAAGCCTCCCGGGAATTAGAATTGTTCTAGCTCGTGTATATAAGCTCCATGACCACTTGTAACTTTTAGCATGATTATGATTTTGCAATAAAATCGAAATATAGCTGTCATTACGATCTTCTGTACATAATTCAAAAGTTGAATTTGCACAGTATGCTTTCCATCCTTGGATTATCACTCGTCTTACTATATGCCAATTGTCGGATGGTTCTGTTTTTTTAGTGTTCAAGGTGTATATGGAATGTGACCAATACAATAATATTGAGGAAATGAGGAAAGGCTTTGTATTCTCATTAACCTATTTTCCTTCTCTATTCAAACTTTTCTTTCCTGAATCATCAATGTTTGTTGTACCATTTGTAAAATCTTTCTTTTTTTTAATTTTGTTTCTTCTTTCTACTGTGCATTTTCTGATTAAACAAATCTATTTTCACTAAGTTACCGTCTTTATCCTTGTTGTTAACGAGTTGATGTATTGAGAAAATGAGGCGGAGCAAAGCCGTGTATTTTAATCCACTCCAAAGACTGTTTAATATACAACAATTAGAAAATACATTGCGTGAGTGAATTAGAAATAAAGCCTTTCAAATTAGGCGCAATGAATATCTCTTTTTAATTGGAACCACAGAACTCAGCAACCAAGTATGCTACCAACTGAAAAGATTTTACTTCTTCGGTCGACATTCACAAACACACTGATTTTTTCTGTTTACTTTATTTGAAAACCTACATCTATATATTTGTAATATACAAAAATCTAAATAAAGTATTGAAATTGAATTGAACTTAACGAGGTTTCGTGGGCGGATGTCAAACATGATTTCAGGATATGTTCATCTGAATTACTATGTGATTTTTAATTACACTTCTTTTGAATAACCCTATACAATTATAAA